GGGCAGCACTGCAGGGAACGAGCTTGGGACCCGCGTGGGGAGCGGGGCGTGGAGGATGGGAAATGCCCAGTCTAGTTTCCGCAAGCGAAACCAGTTAACTGGTGCGATCTCCAGCCCCAAACACCCCCACCTTCAGCTGGAACCGGCGTCTGAACTAATGGGGACAGAAGTGAGTCCAGCTCTGGGAAGCCAGGCCTCAGCTGGTTGGGCCCTGGGCCTGGGGTCCGGAAAAGGAAGGCGAGACTCTGATCCCTTAGCCCATCCCCCTCTCCCCACCCAGCAAGGCTACTGGAGCCAAGGCCACTGACCCCAGACCTGCCTCTCAGCCCCCACCCGCCCCCAGCCTGCTGAGGGTGGCTCTAGCATGCCCCTCCAGCTGTCTGAGGCCCCGCTGCAAGCAGGGCCCGAGGGCCATGGAGGGCATCCAGCTCGGCTCATTATTGGAATCTAATCTGGATTCCGAGAGATCAAGAGGACTCATGGAAAGTGGCTGTCACAAGGGGAGAGACGCTGAGGCCAACCGAGCAGGCTAATCCCCGGCACCCCCAGGGCTTTTCTGGAGCTCAAGGCGAAGCTCACCAGAGAGCCAGATGTCCCAGCTCCACACAGCTGGGCGGCCGGCAGCAAGGAGGCCCCGGCTCCCTTAGAGGGAGCAGGCCGGCCACACGGCGGGGCGACAGGGCGGGGTGTGGGCATCTCTCCGCGAATCAGACCATCCGCAGGCCTCGGCTTAGAACAAAATGCACGGCCCCAGGCTGAGGAAAAGCAAACGGGGGGCTCCAACTCCGCTCAAGCAAGCTCAGGCCCTCGTCCCCACCGAAGAGCAGCTACGAGATGTAGCGGGGCGGGAGCTCTGCATTTCCCTGAGATCTCTGCATTCCCTGTGATGGCGACGGTGACAGTGGTGATGGTGACGGTGGTGACAGTGATACTAACGAGTAAAACTTTACGGAGCACTTAACTATGTTCGAAGGATGCTGACCTCCTTTATCCTCACCATAATCCTGGAAGGTAGATGTAACCATGTGGAAACCGAGGCTCCAAGATGTTACGAGTTCCCAAGGCCACATTGGTACACAGCGTTGGGACCCAAACCCACATGCTTAATAGCTGGGTTATTCTACCTGGGGAATTACTTAAAACGATCGTCTTGCTTCTGGATTAAACACCACTCGGAAAAAAACCCCCCAATAACTTAAAAAACGTTTTGAACCTTTTAACTTCTGGAGAACGAGGGACCTGCTTCCTTCTGCAGGTGCAGAAAGGAGATTGGGGGTCTGAGGAGAGGAGCTGCTGCCGCTCCCCGCCGTGTCTCGCTCGAGCTCTTGCCCCACCTTATACTCTGCACCTATCGGCACCTCCTCTGAACGTGAACTTGGTCTGGTTACTGCTACCCCTGCACGGAACACAACAGGCGCTCAGACATTTGCTGCTGAGGGACTTGGCCTCCCACAAGACAAAAGACCCCGGAGACAGGAACCCAAAGCTAGGCCAGGCACCCCAGAGATCACCTGTGGCCGAGCTGCTCACTGGGGTCAACCTGTTATGCCCGCCCTGGCCACCGGCCAGGGAGCTGTGGACAGCTGTCCTGCCCATCCCTCTTCCAACCACAGTGACTCAGGCCCTCTCCTCTCCCCTGGGGCCTCCAGATCCACCCTAAGGATCTAAGACAGGGTAGAGGAGGCAGCCACCTCAAACCATGACCGGACCAGGTGCCACAGTATCAGCAGCTGACACAGGCAGAAAGGTGAGCAGCTGCTGGCGGCCTGGCGGGGAAGCCAAAGGCCCTTGTTTCATCCGAGTGAAGACGAGGTGGCTCCTCCTGCCCCACCTGCGGGCTCGCTGGCTCACCCCTGCCTTGGGCCTTGAGTTCTCCTGAGACGCCCTCTGCCCCCCAACGCCGAATCCTTGTCGTCCGAATGTCTCCACTCAACCGGGCCATCTGCAACCACCCAGTGACCTTGCCAGGCCTGACGGTCTACTTGCTTGCTTGCCCGTTTGTCACCTGTCCTCCTCACGCCCTGGTACGGGTCGAACTGCACCCTCATAAAGATATGCTCAAGTCCTACCCTTGGAACCTCACTCGGAAATAGGGTCTTTGCAGATGCAATTCAGGAAGATGAGGTCACCCTGGAGTAGGGTGGGCCCCTCATCCAAGGTGGCTGGTTTCCTTACAAGAAAAGAGAGGCACCCCGAGGGAATGCAGGTTTCAAGAGCGGCCCTGCCAACACGCTGATGTCAGACTTCCGGCCTCCAGGACTGAGAGAGGATACGTTCCTGTTGTTTTAAGCCCCCCAGTTCGTGGCACCTTGTTAAGGCAGCCCCTGGGAACCAGTACACCCCTCAAGAAGCATTTTGGACAGGTCCCTGCCCTCTGGACCCGAGCTGGCTGGCTCCTGAAGGCCAGTCCAGAGGCCAGTGCCTGGCACAGAATAGAATGAACGAAGCACTCAGCTCCCACCTGTGTCTCCAAATGCGGCGGCCTCTGACCTCGATAAGGGGGCACCGTGCCTGTCACAGGGTCTCCGGTGCCCTTCCTAGTGTGTGGAGCAGAGCAGGTGTGCACAGGAGGTGTGGGACCAGGGGGCGGGGGCGCCCGTCACATTGGGAGCAGCACCCGAGAACGCTGGCAGTTCTGAAGCAAGCTCCCACTCACTGGATGAGGGCCCGGCCCGGCAGCATCCCAGCCGGCCCCAGAGACCGCCCGCCAGCGAGGGGAACACGCTCCTGTATGGGGAACTTGTAGGAAGAGCCGCACAGGTGACACCAGCCAGCCCTTCCAGTTCTGTCCAGCCAAACCCACTTGGGGCAGTTACTGAGGTTAAGCCTCCCTGGGGAGATTTCTGAGGCAGGTTTGGGGAACCTGCCAGGAGGCCTGGGCGTGAGCAGGGCTCGGGGCTGACACGAGTGGGCGACTGATGAATAGCCTCTGGGTACCGGCCTCACCCCCAATTACTTTGCCTTCATGAGGAAAGTCAAACATATGTTCTTTCTTGTTCAAGAGTCCCAAGGGATTTGTCAGAGGACAGAACAAATATTTGTTACCCCCTAAGAAGAAACTCGATGCTTCTTCTTGTAACTGGGCCTGGGGCCAGGGCACAGCCCACTCCAGGTAACTGGGGCACCTCAGTACCTTCGGTAAGATTTGGGGGTGACTGCCAAGGCTGTCTGCTGCCTGCCCCAAACCACACCCACTTTCCAGTACCACAGGCAGTGCATTCATGGGGGTGGGGGGACTCCAAAATGCAAATCTAACCCACACTGAAGTAACATTTGTTGCTGACCAGACGTACAAAGACCAGAACAGTCTGAGAAGAGACCATGCTGGCGAGCGCATGGGGAAACAGGCCTTCTCTTACGTGGCTGCTAGGAGCATAAATCGATGACCTCCACAGAGAGCAGTTCAGCAAAATCTATCAGTCACCGATGTGTGCGCCCTCTGACCCCACAGTTCTATTTCTGGAACTATATCTGACTGATAGACATGCACGAGTGTGAAATAATATGTCGACAAAGTTATCCCTCCCGCACCCCACCTCCCCAAGCCCCAACCCCCACTCCAGCCCGTGCCCTCTGCAGTGCAGAGAAATGGAGAGCCTGCCGTGCGCCGCAGGAAACGGGTTATACGCCCTGCGGCACGACCCCCAGGACGGAAGCTGTGTGGTCATTAGAACAAGGACACTCCGTGGGACCTGGCCGGGTGGGATGGTCAGGGTTCACTGTCACGTGATGAAGGCAAGGAGCAGGAGAGAGCACGTGATGCGGCGCCGGTTGTGAAAATACACAGACGCACGCAGACACCTGCTGACCGAGGAGACTCAGCAATGGAGGCAGCGGCCGCCTAACAGACGGGGCGCTGGGGCCCGGAGGTGGAAGAAGCCTCAATTTTCACTGTGGTTGCTTTTCTCTGTTTCACGAGTTATACTACGAATGGGTCTTACCTATTCAAAAATAAATTATTAAAAGAAATATTTTTTGTGTGTCTGGGCTCAGGTTCTAATTTGTCCACTTTCCCTCGAGATCAGGGGTCCCCAACCCCTGGGCTGCAGACCGGGCCGCAGAGCAGGAGGTGAGCGGTGGTCCAGCTGCACGGGCAGCCGCTCCCCAGTGCTAGCGTCACTGCCTCAGCTCCGCCTCGGGTCACGAGGCATTAGATTCTCCTAGGAGCCTGGGGCCTTGGTGGGAACCGCTGCTCTACATAGTCTCACGTGAGACTTTTGATTCTATTCATTCTCCCCATTTCCCAGATGAGTCGCCACCTCAGATAGCGACTGTGAACACGCACTAATGGCTGTAAGACGTCAGAGACACTGAAGAGAAGGTTGGTTTCCTTGGTGTTTAAAATGAGCCCCCAAATGGCAGTGCTTTGCAAATGAGGTGGTGATGGTTCCCATGTCCCCACTGTGGCAACGGCTTCCAGTTCAGACTGAAGATGCCGGCACTGCCCATTAGAAAGAGGTGCCCACCCACCTTTCTTCCACTTATCACCAAGGAATGGTATGGGTGGGGGGCGATGAAAGTCGTCTGGACACCTGAGACTCCCAGAACCCCAGCCACTGGGCAGCACAACCTCGGCCATGACCACCTCGGGGCTGTGGAGTGGTCCAGCCCATTACTTAGACTTCTCAGAGGACCTTGGAACTAAAGGGTCTCAAGAAATTAGAAGTCTTTCAACACAAGCTTTTGGTTCCTGACTTGATTTTTGGAAGGTCGAGAGTTCTCTGCCTGTTTATTTTTGGTTCGGGGTCTTATCCCAGACACGATCACAAATGGCCACTTTGGCTGGTCGCCCGCCAGCACGTGCTGGGTTTCAGGGTGATGAATGGGGGAGGGGCAGGCCTTCGAAACTGCTTCTCCCTCTTCCCCATGCCCCTCCTTCCACGCCCCTGAACACACGCGGAAGCGGCCGTGACTGTCCCTGCCCCCCTGGCTGTCGCCCCTTCTTCCTCTGTCACTGGAGGGAACTCGGCACCCCTCCCCGGCACCAGCGCAGCACCCACCTGCCCAAGTGCTCCTGCAGCACCTGGTAAACGCTGATCCGGAACGTCTCGTTGTCGAAGCGCTCCCGGATGTAGTCCTTGTAGATCCGGAATTCGGCCGCGGTCACCGCTTCCCCTTCCGGGATCTTGGAAAGATCGAACCGGAACTCCCGATGGTGGTAGCGTGGGTGGAAAAACTCTTTGTCGTGCTCCACTGGAGAGAGAAAAACACACACCAGCACCAAAAGCTCATTAGTAACTGGGTTTCGCTCTCCCGGCTCCGAGTTCAAGCATCTGGCCTAAGCTAGATAGAGATGGGCCCACCGCCAGCGACCCCTGGTGAGAACTGCCCTTTACGTGCTGACCTGCTGCAGACTAGAGCGTCACAGACTTAGACCCTGTGGTCACCATGAACGACTCTGCGGTCGACCTGCTGGGAAGAGATGGGCACTGACCACGGCCATCCCAGAGGCCCTGGACAGACTCGGATTCCAAGAGCCCTGGCCTGGGTTCGAGGTCTCAAGGAAGCCATCTGGACCTCAGTTTCCCCATCGGAAAGCGGGGACGATCATTCGCCTTCATTTGTCGTTGTCAGAGTTAAGTGATCTAATTCATGTAAGCAGCTTAACCCCTGGTAGGGTTAGGTAACCATGAGCCATTGTTAGCAAACGGCCACGTTCCTCTGTCTATCGGGCATCCTCAGGCCCTGTGCTCAGCCCTGGCTGCATGTGAAAGTCGCCGGGGGAGCTCTGAGAAAATGCTGGTGCCCGGGCCCAGCGGCGGGCTGGCGTACGTGGACTGACTAGCCCTCTGGGCCCTGTCTGTAGCATTTGCCGATTTCCATCTCGGCAGATCACAGCTTCTCAAAGTGAAGTCACTGAAGGTGGAGGTGGGGAGCTCGTCGCATGGCGGGCCCCAGCACCCTGCTGGTCTCACCCACTCTGAACCAAGTAATCAGTGTCTTTGGGGAGGGGGTTCCGAAACCTGTACTTTTTAAAACACCCTAGATGTTTCTAACAGCCTCCAGGGTTTACAACCAGAGCCTAAGACTAAAAGCAGAAAAAGAGATGGGTGTGGGGGCCTTTGAAAAATGACGTCAGGACAAAACAAGGCCAAGGTCCCCAGCACATCTCTCTTGTGCTAGCAGTGAGACCAGACCAAGATATTAACCCATTTCACAGATGATAAACACCAAGGTGGGTATAAGCCCAAGAACATCGTGTCTAGGGATGGACCTCTGGACCAAAACAGAACAGGGATGAAGCTGGGAGTCATCAGATGCCGGAAGGGTGCAGAACGTCCAAGCTCAGGAGTGTTTGCAGCACCTGCAGATACCTTTCACCTCCCGGGAGACTCAGCCCCATCTGTACTTCCTGCCTGGGGCGGGGGGGGGACCAGCTCGGCCAGAAGAGAGGAGAAACATGACCAGCGAGCGTCGGCCCCGAAGCTCTCAGGCTGGGATAGGGCCGCCACGCCGAAAGCAGGATGGGAGTGCCTTTAGGAAGGCCACCTGAAGGCCACCTGAAGGCCACCTGAAGGCTGCCCCTACAGGTCTCCATTCTAAAAGAGAAATCCACTTTAAACCTTAATAATAGTTCTAAAAGGCACTGGTGTGAAGGCAGGGGGCATCGAGGGATTATCCACCCATCAGGCTGCTCCCTACTGGAGACCAGAGGACTCTGGCTGGGCTCAGGGGTGGCCCTGCCTCTGGTCCACAGCCACAGGAGTCCTGGGCTACCTGTGGAGAGCTAGCCAGAGGAAGGACTCTCTAGAAACCATCCCACAGCCCCCCAGGATTGCAGCCATCCTCACACGCTCCCCCCTTTATACCCACAAGGAGGACTTGTCTTCTGACACAATCTAAGGAAAAGGAAAGGCCCCACCCTGATTTATGAAGCTGTGTGTGTGGGAGGGGGTCTTTGTGGCAGCTTCTAGGACGCGCAGACGCCTGGGGATCAGGTGAGCCTCAGGTGGGGACCCCAGGGTGAGAGGCATGGCAAGCAGCCTCGACACAGACACTGTTAAATGCCCCGGGCCCGTCCCTCGCCACCCTTCCGGTTCATTCAACCCCGCATGTCGGTCGGGGATGCACCTGACACTGACGAAGTGCTGAGCGGCCTGTCCCGGGTGGGACAGCTGGGCCGCAACCCCAGCCCCACCCCCGCCAGAAACCTTCACCGCGCATCTCGGCGGCGACGCCGACAGCTCGGAAGGAGCACCTTGGCCGCGCGCTGGAACGTTTCACGGCAATACAGCCTACGTCTGCTATGCACACACACCAGATGGGTGCCGCTCGGCGAGTGTGACAGAGCGAACCCACCCATGGAACCTTCTCCCAGACGGAGTAGAACATGCCAGCGCCCCCCGGCCCTGCCTCCCCCAACCTCCCTGACGATGGGCTGGTTGCTGAACATGCTACCAGGGAACGACACGGCGCGTTCTTCTGCGCCCGGCTTCTCTCCCTCGGCCGTGCCCCGTGACCATCTGCATCACTGAGGATGTTCGCTCGTCCGCACGGCTGTGTGACAGTCCCGTTCGGCTGCACCGTCATTCACGTATCCCTTCTACAGTTCACGGGCCTTTGGGTGGTTCGCAATCCGGGGCTTTTCGAGCGGGGCTGCTAATGGACATTTGGGCTCCCGCGTTTTGGCGAATCTGGGGAGGCATTCCGAGAGGTGGGCAAGTGTATGTTCAGATTCAGTCATGTTGCCAAGCTGTTCTCCCAGAGTATTGTGCCAGGGAGAGTTTTAAAAGTGTGCCGGGAGGAGAGGACAAGTCCGTCTGGGAAGGAGATGGGCACAGCCGGGGGACGATTCGTGTCTTCCTCAAGGGCTTTTCTGCAGGGGCTGGGAGGGGGCAGTGACGGCAGCAACTCCTGGAGAGTCTCCTGCAACCCGGTGAGTGGTCAGTGCACCCACGCAGCTCACCCCCAGCCCCCACTGAGGGAGCTCCCAGTGCCCACGCTGCCCCCCAGCCCCACCGACCCACCCAATCCGAGGTCACCAAAGGCCATCCCTTAACCACGTGGAAAGGACACCTTGCTGGACCTCCAGGTAGCAGCTCTCAGCACCTGGCTGTTCCTCCCTCGCAGACCTCGCCTTCCTGTGGCTCCATCACTGTGACTCTGGGTCGCCCTGGCCACTGCTTAAAACCTTCCCTGAGAAATTCCCATTTAAAGGTTAACACAGGGCTGTGGAACATCAGCAGAGCGTGCCACAGGCCAGTCTCCCACCCCCGGCTGACAGATTACACAGTCTCTGTTCCCAACCATCTTCCCTTCCCCTCCCCAGCAGAGCCAAGCCTCCGGAGGCCAGAAACGTCCCTTCAGGTTCGCGATGCTCCAGCATCAGCGAAGGGCACTGCTCGTGTGACCGTGCACAGGCGCCTCGGCACGACGCTTGGAACAGTGTGACTCTGACACACCTCGGTGTCCCTGCTCCCAGCACCGGACAGAGCGCTTCTCAAACAGCTCCTGCTGGCCACACAGCAACTGAGCAGGGAACGGGGGTTTGGAACCCTGGTTTATGATGAAAGTGGGTGAAGAACCCAGAAGTGACAAAAAGCATGTTTACTTAGTGCTTGCTCTGTGACGGGTCCCACGCTAAGCACTCTGGGTCACCATCTGATGAACCCCGGTGAGGCAGAATTGACCCCATTTTACAGATGAGGAAACCGAGGCTCAGGGAGTCAGGCAACTTGCCCAAGGTCACAATTAGGTGAGCGGCCGAACTCTGCAACTCAACGCTCTTGACCCTGACACTCTCCGGAGCCAGGTGGCCTAAGTTCCACTCTCAGCTGTACCACTTACCAGCCGTGTGGCCTTAGTCATCTTACTCAACCTCTGTGTGCGTCCCCTTCCTCCGGGAAAGTCACAGATTTGTCGCGAAGGTTTATAGGCGCTGGCACTTACGCCAGAGCCTGGCAAACGGAAAGCAGTTCGCGTTCACCGTGGCTGCAGGGCCTCTCAACGACCTAGGAGAACCCAGGAGAAAGACAGTCGGTAGAGAAGGGACACTATGTGCGTGCGGCTGTTGGCCTTAGCTAAGATAACTTTATTTGCAAAGAAAAAGCGCAACAGATCAAACGATAAAGATACTTTGAATAAGCACGACGTGAATACAGGTGTAATCACCGAAGTCACGCCCGGTGAAGAAGAGACGCGATACATCGTCACACACGTGAAGTTTACTGTAACCGGTGTGTGTACCATGTTTTTAACCTATAAGATTAAAGGTGTCTTAACTGTTAAGACACTTAAGATATCAGATGGTTAAGACAAAAGGGTTAAATAGTTTCTTTTTTTTGAAGGGCTCTTTCGGATGGCTTTCTGAGTGAATTTCCTTCGTTAATTATTTTAAGACGATGAGAGGCACGAACCCTGTCGCCATTCTGTTCTCCCTGAAACCCACATCATCGTGTGTTCTAAAACTAATTTCGTAATTTATCAAAGAAAGAACAGTCATTGGTAAAAAGAGCAGTGAATAATTCAAGGTCCAAACCAAGTTCCAAGTCTCGCCTTCCCCAGGTTTCCTGTGGGAGCCAGTCCACAGCACGGGGTCTACACCAGCTCCTCCTCAGGGGTCAAGACCCTGATTAATCGTCACCACTAAAGTAGGTGGAAGCGTGTACGAACTTTTAGGAAGAAAACACATCTTTACACCGCCTTCTTAAGTTGCTGTAGTTGATTACTCAAGACTTGGACTTTAGAATACACATGTAGCATTGATATCAGTCCGGCCCATGAAGGAAGCTTCCTGAAGGAACTCAAGGCCTGGAAATCCAGCCTTTTCTCTGGGCCCTTAAATTCCAACACCTGCTGGCTGTGGGAGCTGGCCGGCGTTAACAAAGACTTTCATCTTTAAAAGAGCAAAGGGCCCAAATCCCTGAGACCCAATGATAAGTTTAAAGAAAACGGATTCCCGAAAACACCATCTTGACGGCGACCAGCCCTGTGACTGTCCCCAAGCTAGTGTCACCTTTTATAAAAGCCTGAAATAATAACCCTAAAGCTGGCCCTGGAGTGGGGGGATTCTGGGCTGCAGGGTGTCAAGGAAAGGTAGAGACGGGTGGGGATGGGAAGCTACACACCGAGCGTCCCCTCTCATGACCCCCTGGCATTCAGGGGTGACCGCTGCCCCACATACAAGTCCAGCCTGCGCCCCAGTTCTTCCAACCTGTGAGTTATGTGGAGACCCTTCAAACAAGTCCCCTTTA